AAATAATGGATTTGATTGCATATTTAATTCCAGTAAAGTCAGATTTAGAGCCATAGGTAAAGATGCACACCTCCAAATTGCGCCCACTTGCTAGTTCAGTACAGTAAAGCACCATGCTGCAAAACTCAAATCATCTCAGACATAACAATGAGCTTCCTGTTCTCCAGATTAACCAGATTTCAAATATCTGGAACATTTTTATACCACAAACTAAACAAAAGAGACCTGCATGCTCCAACAATGATTGAATTTGTTTCCTCTGTATCAAACCAAGCCGCTCAGAGGACCATTATTGGGAGAGATTTTATTTCTTTCAACAGTTCAAGAGTTTTCATGTATCCTCTTATTCTCTGAAATCAAAATACAGCAAAATACAGCTGAATAGAGAAGATCTCTGAACGTGATTCATGTCCAAAATATGAGTTGTGGTACAAAATGACTTTAATTCGACCAGCAACACAGCTATGTATAAAACATCTAAACTGGGTTATTTTGAAAGCATGGAAGTATGAAGATGTTTCACAGCCTACAGATGATAACCTGTTGTTTTCATGTTAGAGCGCCACCCAGTGGTTGTTGTACAAAAATATTAAAAATGAAATATACAGCCAAGAGCAGCTCTTTTGTAATGGATGATTGTGAGTTAAAGTCCAGCAAAGGAGATAAAATAAACGGTTCTGATTGAGTAGAAGGCAATAGTTGCTCTAAAAAAATGAACATCTGTACAGTTGATGTGTTTTAAAGGTGACCTACTAAGCTTCCCTGAACGAGTTAGGATTGGTTTATGTGCTAAATTAAACATGTTCCTTAATGTTTTTCCACAAAATCCTCTAGATAATGACATCTTAGTCTGCTCAGTTCTGGCTAGGAGCTTTTTTAGGGTGTCTTGTCTCTTTAAATCCAAATAAGTTGCTATGATGCATAACCATGGCAACGTGTTTTTACAACCAGGAGCAACTGATCAGCATCTAAAAAAACCTCAAGTATAATCTGAACTATGATTCTACACCTCAGTGGAGTTGAAGAGGAGCTTTCATGGATGCTTTGCCACATGATTTTTTTCCGTCTATCATAATCGTCTCTCAGTCCGACTTAAATTGGAGCAACAAAAGCAAATGAAAGGGATCAGCAGAGCTTGTTTTCATCCAGAAGATGTTATCTAGAAATGTCATCTCTGCTGCTCGGAGATCGAGCTGTTAGCAGGTTTTGACAGTTACATACAGCAAGTCTTCAGTCAGAGGTCTTTTCATATATGTTGCGTGACTGACTGCTACAGGAGATCCTTCCTATGCGCAGCATTACCATGTGCTGCGACTCTTTGAAGATACTTGGATGATATGAGTTAATTTTGAGGTTTAAACATTTCTATAGTAGTTTCTTCTGGTATTTTTATCTTTATTTTTGGCTTGCATAAAGTAAAGAGAAAAAAAAAACAGAAAAATAAATAAACTTTAACTCGACTGCGACAAAATGTGAAGTTCAATGGTTATGGATATTAAAATATAAACTATTTCACTGCTGGCTTTTTACAAACAGTATTGTTTTTTTTAGTTATTTTTAACTGCTGTATGGAAACGTTTAAAAAATGACAGAAAAATACACAAACAAGCTGCAAGGTGACAAAATGTGAAGTTCTGGGGTGAATATTAAAATACTGGGTTGTTTACAGGCCTCTGCAGTTCGTTCTCTGGCTGGTTGTGGGGGGAAATGTGAGGCGTTTCATCACCATTTTAGCATTTCAGACGGGGGCACTAATGATCGACTGGCACGCAAGCCGATTTTACAGGTTGCATGCAAGGCCCTGGATCAGCCCACGACCACTAAATACTCAAGTCATTTTCATTCTTCCTCTCCCTGCCCTCAGGGAAGTGCGCATGCAGATAATCTCATTAGGGAAAACATAATATTTGTAAAAGAGCTTTGGAGCAAAGCCCCACATCTGACTTGCCCTCAGTTTTTTAAGACGTCTTGCTGATATGAATTGGTGACATAATCTGGTCCCAGCGGAGAAATGCGGACATTTGCAGAATTAAACGGGTCCGACACGCACGTATGTGAGGAATGTTTGTGTTCAGATCGGCTTAAACGCCAACAATGAAGAAACAATCCGATTAATAGGGTTAAATCTGCAGCTGATAAGCCTGGATTTTGTTAAATTAGGCTCTTGGAGTTCATAATGTGAGCAGCAGAGGGCGCTGTTCGCCGTTATCTCACTGAGAAATTAATCTGAAAACTCATAACAAGCAACCGAATAAACAGTCATTTATTTCTAAATAATGTTCACTTCCTTGACCTTCTTCATTTGAACATTTATGTAATGACAATAGTTTCAAACACACAAATCACTGAGGTTATATTAGCATCATTTATGTTTAATCCTAAAAAAAATACTGCATAATTGGATTCACACACACATACACATATTAATTTATTTATTCATTTATTTAACACTTATTAATTTATTTATTATCCTTAAGCATCTTGAAACTTCTTGTCACTTTAGGCAACATGAAGATCATGAGTGTCCTCAGAGTTGGTTGCGCCAGTTTGTAAAGGTAAATTTATCCATGAACAAACTGTTTAAATATAACTTTCTCTGCATTTTATTTGGCCTTCATATTGAATAATATGTTGCATCCATTCACATTTATGTAAATTGGTCTTATACAAATAAAAACTGATTCAATTTGACAAATAAAATAATAGAAATTGTATTTCTGTGACCCTCCAGAAATGGCAATGGCGGGCCAAATATGGCCTGCGGGCCTCGAGTTTGACACACGTTCCCAGGTTTATATCATTTAATAACTGCATGTTGTGGTTTTGTGAGCAGAAGCTTGGCCTGAAATGTATTTGACACTCCAAAGAAACTCAAAAACAATTAAACATATTAATAAAATAAAGATGCATTTTGTTGTGTTGTTTTATAAACATATTTATTTTCTTTTTTTGTGGAGATGAATATTTTTATCCTGTCTTTAGGAAAGCAACTCTGTGACCTGCAACTCGTGGGAAAAGGACGTTATATAAGATATGATGAAGTTTTGGATCACTGGAGTAGAAGCAAAAGTAAGAAAGTAAGGAATTAAAATATTATTTTTACATGCTGTTCTCTGCAAAAGTATTTAAAATATTGAAGTTTTCCAATATTTTCCAACCATATACTAACATAGGGTAACACTTGAAAGTAAGATTTAGAAATAATAATATGTGAAAGTCTGAAAACTGCAGTTTAGCCCTTGACATTCCCACATAAATCTAGAGGAAATCTAAAAGTAAACAGTCTGTAGCTTAATCAATCTCAGCATAAATCCAGCTGTTCTGCGAATGTCTTAAACATTACAGAGAACAAGCAGCATCAGAAAGACCAAAAACACAGCAGCTTCTGACCCATCAAAAGGGGACTACATTTTCAAAATTCACTTTTTGCACATTTTTGTACTTGCACGCTGCAGAAACACTCATCAAGTATTTTTAGTCTAGTTTGTAGTGCAAATATTTTAGTTTAAGGCAAAAGTAACATTTCGGCTAGAAATAGGAGCTTGTTTTAAGTCAATAATTTCTTAATTTTTATGAATAAATGTAATATATAGGTGAAATAAGGCTTGTTTTTCATATTATAAGTGAAAAATGTCTTGCTCCACTGGCAGATTATTTCACTTACATCGAAGTATTGACTTTAAAAAGACTTCTATCCTAATGAAAAGTTACTAGCTTTGATTTTGGTGTCTGGGAAGTGATGTCACATCGTTACCTAGCAACCCCAGCCAAGCCCGGCTCGTTACCTAGCAACCCCAGCTCGTTACCTAGCAACCAAAGCAGGGCTCCAGCACATTGTAGTTCTAAAACAATTCTCCAACCTTTGAACGTCTTACATTTCTGTTCATTCAACCTTTATCTGAGAAAGGGAAGAGTGAGGCATGGATGCAAATCTACCCGGATACAGATGATGAGGAAAGTCAACTCTTAGGATTCAAAAACTAACACAGTTTTAGTTGTGATGTGGCAAAATGTGAAAACGTTGTACCTGTAGTTTTAAACAGATTCCAGACTTCTTCAAAAGGAGTTTATATGAAAGTCTACTTTTACAAGCTCTTTTTTTTAAAAGAACCAAACCTTGAATTATAGTTAACTGCTGGAATATCTGCATCCTGACTCCTATTGTGTTAGACACGAACATGAAACTGTTTGAAAGTGTTGGATATTGATCTGGACACATTCTGGGACTCTGTCCAGGACATTTTTACATCCTGTTAGGGGTTGAGAAGAGACCCAGTCCTTAAAGATGATTGACACTCCAGTAAAAGTAGCTGAAACGTAAACATTAAAACCGTGTTCGTCCCCACAGTGTCCAGTGTAAATCTGGTGGATTTCACAGACAGAACTGGTGTTTTTTTTTCTGGTGGAAACACAATGCATCTCCTCACAGGTCACAACATTATGAGAATGAAAACTCATTTATGGCTTCTTCTTTTTTCTTCCTCTGTGTTGTTTCACTTTCCAGGGGTGGCCATAATTCAGCTGCACTCGCCTGATGTGTAAAAGCTCACCCCAAACAAAGCATCAACTAAACGGCCGCCAGCTGCTGCTTCTTTTTTTGGACTGATGGAAGGGAACCATGTTGGAAAATCCCTGCAGATTTGTTCGCTTGACTGAACAGTGACAACTTATCAGAAAGGCTCCAGAACCCCCAGTGAGCTGCAGAGAAACATCTTGTGGTCTTACCTTAAAAGGCATATTCCTGCAGGCCAAACACCCACAACTACTGTTCTGCAACCAGAACCTCAGTTTACTGTAAGAAATCCACTTCATAACAAAATCAAAGTATTATTATTTTATAAGTGTAACATTGATTTTATTTTGTCAAAATGTGGTTTTTTTTTTTTATTCTTCAAATTCATTTCGTTTAGCCAAAAAATTCATTGGTATGTAAGTTATGATATGTGACTCTTGGCAGTTTGTGGTTACCATAGAACCGGTAACGGACAGCGTCCCGCTTTTTCTGTCAGCGTGTTTAACTGCAGCCGCGCCATTTCTGCAGCTAGCGCTACAAATATGCTAACCGCACCAGAGTTCACATTAACTGGACCGAGACCAGGTTCGCAAACGGACCTGAATTTTATTGGGCCTCATCAGAGTTTCATTGCGCATTCACTCCTCCCCAAACGAACCGGACTTTCCAGGCAAACAGACTGGACCAAAAGCGGACTGAAGGGGACCGGTCTGCCAAAAAGCCTCAGCCTCTACCTTCAACTGAGACCGATCCAAAACCAGGAAGTGGACCACAGAAAAGAGGGAGGAGCTGACAGTTACTCAGGTCTATGGTAACCACTAATCGCAGCTTAATGTGGATTTCTTATAGTATGTCACTCACAGAATCGTTGTTGTGTTTATATGGCCTGCAGGAAAATGTCTTTATGGTAAGACCTCATTACGTTTACCAACGACAAACAAGCATCTGCTAAAATCTGATGGCGTGACTCCATTCTTTCAAAATGTAAAGAATGGAGGAAGTGGCGCTCCGTGTCTTCTTCAGAGGTTTTTGTATTGTAGCGCCACCACTGGCGAGGAGGGGAACAGGGTTTTTAAAGGGTTTGGTTCGCAAAGCAAAACACAGCAGCTGAAAACAAATGTTGGCATTTTGATCACCAATCGAACTGCATTTACTGGACTATCAGATGCAAAAACAACCTTAGACTCAGTCCCCCAGATCTCAATCTATTCACGCTTCATCAAATCCATTACACTAAAACATCCGATGCTAACGTCTGACCAAGTAAGGGTTATTTTGGCTACTTGGTGGTCAGTGTATACTCTCATAGCAACCAGTAAAACTCCCAGGAGCTTCCCAGTGAACTCAGTTTGCTGAACATGTCGGGGCATCGGAGAGGTTGACCCTTCAGGGATGAAGATGGTAAATGATGTCACCAGAATCTATAAGCAGACGTCCCCGTCCCGCCCAAAGCCTATCATATACACGGCATCAAAGGAATTCCCAGGAAGCTGTCAGGAGGAAATAGACCAAAGACCAAAAGTAAAAATATCTCCACGAGCCAAGAAAGACGTTTCTTATTTTGGTCGTTTGATGTGATCACAGCTTTTCATTTCCGTCCTTTTCAAGCTGCCTTACAAGGAGAGGTCAGACGCTGCAAAACGGGCTGTTTTTAGCAGAAAGACAGATTAAAAACATAAACAGATTCATTAATCATTTGATTAATGAATCAAGATATTTTTCTCTTGTTATAATTGAAAACCTGCCAGTGAAACTTTTTCTTTTTCATAAATGTTAAGGAATTATTAACTTAAAACTATTTCAAGTATTTTTAGTCTTAGTGCAAATATCTTGAAATATTACAAACTTAAAAGTAACTTTTCAGCAACATATAGAGCCTTGTTTTAATTGAATAATTCTTTAATATTAATTGTATTGGCAGATTATTTTCTTTATAGCAAAACATTTTTCCCATGGAGAAACGGCCAATGGAATAAGAACTTTTTCAGCAACATTAAGGAAACATTTACTTAAAACAAGTTAAAAAGTTACTTATAAGTCAATTTGTCTTATTTAAAATATTTGGTAATATTTTGTATTTTTGCAGTGATTATTGTAAATATTACATTGTCAAATGGGACAGAAATGGTTATGATTTCATGTATTTCCATGTAAATGTGTATTAAAAGGTCCATTTTTGAGGTGATGGCAGCCGCAGAGCATCGGCTTTAGGTCTGTGTTTTGTCCTGGTGTCTCGTCGAGGCGCCGCCGCTCTGTTTAGCCCTCATCCTGCCTCTGGCCTACATTCAGCTCAGATATGAAGCGAGCTCACCATGGTTACTGCCAGGTAAACAGCAGTCAACAGAGAGCTGGACCCGTGCTGAACCCGTGCTGGACCCATGCTGGACCTGTGCTGGACCTGTGCTGGACCCATGCTGGACCCGTGCTGGACCTGTGCTGGACCCATGCTGGACCATGCTGGACCTGTGCTGGACCTGTGCTGGACCTGTGCTGGACCCATGCTGGACCTGTGCTGGACCCGTGCTGGACCTGTGCTGGACCTGTGCTGGACCCATGCTGGACCCGTGCTGGACCTGTGCTGGACCCGTGCTGGACCCGTGCTGGACCCATGCTGGACCTGTGCTGGACCTGTGCTGGACCCATGCTGGACCCGTGCTGGACCCATGCTGGACCTGTGCTGGACCCATGCTGGACCTGTGCTGGACCTGTGCTGGACCTGTGCTGGACCCGTGCTGGACCTGTGCTGGACCTGTGCTGGACCTGTGCTGGACCTGTGCTGGACCTGTGCTGGACCCTGTGCTGGACCCATGCTGGACCCTGTGCTGACCCGTGCTGGACCTGTGCTGGACCTGTGCTGGACCTGTGCTGGACCCATGCTGGACCCGTGCTGGACCTGTGCTGGACCTGTGCTGGACCCGTGCTGGACCTGTGCTGGACCTGTGCTGGACCTGTGCTGGACCCGTGCTGGACCCGTGCTGGACCCATGCTGGACCTGTGCTGGACCTGTGCTGGACCCATGCTGGACCCGTGCTGGACCCATGCTGGACCCGTGCTGGACCCGTGCTGGACCCGTGCTGGACCCATGCTGGACCCGTGCTGGACCCATGCTGGACCCGTGCTGGACCCGTGCTGGACCCGTGCTGGACCCGTGCTGTCCGCCTCCGGTCAGACTGAAGGGACTCGCTCATGTCACCTCATTTCATTCAGACCTGAGATTAAAATCTCCTCCCTCTTTCCTGTTGTTGCCGTTTCAACCCTGAAATGCCAGATCAACGAATTTCCACTTCGTATTTGTTTATTTAAGGATTAATCCTTCCATCCACACAACAAACATTTCAATTAAATCGTTATAAAAAGACATAATACTCCTTAAGATGGAAACAAAATTTAATTAAGCACAAATTTAAATCAACCACTTCAACAATTATAAAAACTGATTTAAATATTTTTGAATTTGAACATCTTACAAACATTGCAAAAGAATATCACAAAACCAAAGTTGGAAGTTTTTTTTATTGAGAGAAACTGATTTGGAAACATTTTCTTTTGCCTGATTTTGTCATTTTTTATTATGTAAATGAATTATTATCATTTTGGGCCTTAAAATACCAAATTTCCACTTGATATTTTTGTCAGTCTGACAATGTAATATTTACATATTAAATAATTGATAATTTGATCAGTTACTCAGTACTTGAGCAGATTTTTTTTACCAAATATTTTTTAGCTTTTTGAGTAACTCTATTACATTATTGAATGTCTGTTTTTGTTTGTTGAAAAAGTTGTTTGGAAGCAGTGGTGATATAAAAGTGATAATAGAGGTTCATATTAAAAATATGTGTATTGTAGTTGGGTAACAACTGTGAGAAAAGGCTAAGCGGTTTATGTACAGTCCAGATTTTGTGAAAAGAAAACATTGTCCCAGCGATAATGTTCCCTAGAACTTCTGCTGCGAGAGTCCGATTATTATCGTCCAATAAAAGTTGGAACAGGCGCAGCATATATCAACAGAAATGATATCTTATGAGAAGCTTAAATATTTAAGAATAATATTTATCATGCTCCAGATATTTTCCCCTTCAAGGAACCAACTGCTTCTGTGTTTTGGGCCAAAATAACGTTGAGTTTCCCTTTTGGGATCAGTGAATTTGAATGGGATTGAATTTGCTCCTGTTTCCAGTTCACCTGAAATGAGACAAAACTGGCATCAGTAACTTTTTAGTAATTAATTCCTTAATATTGATGAAAACGTTCCAGATCCACTGGCAGATTATTCCATTTATTTCTAAATTGTTACCTAGTTCTAATTCCGCTGGCAGATTATTTTACTTATGACAAAACATTTTCCCCATGTTCTGCCAATGGAACCAGAACTTTTTCATCAATATTAAGGGATTATTTACTTAAAACTAAAAGGAATCCTGTGTTTTGGGCTCATTTTAGTTTTCAGCAGGTGAAGACAAAAGTGCTTCTGTCAAACTCCACGTCTCCAGTGTCTCCGTCAAGGTTCATCAAGCGGGGAAACGTCTTATTAAAATTTCTCCCGTCGTTCCTGCAGACACGATGAGTATGGCTGTGAGGAGTTCCTTCATCAGCAGCTTGAAGCACAGACTGAGCTTTATGCCGCCCTGCTGGTGGAAAACTTCGCTGGGTCACAGCGGTGTGTATCTTGGCTCCAGTGGCTTCTGGGCCACCGGTTGTGAATATCTTATAGGAAAACTTTTATACAAAATTCAAATTTTGCACATTACTGTTCTTTCATTTGGGACTCAACTCAGCTTCTGAAAACAACCCAGGCACTTAAATAAAACATCCAGTCGGTTTTTGGTTTAAATACTAATTTCTTTGCTGTTACCTAACAATCAAAGCTGTTCTCCAGCATGTTTGGTCAGCTGGTTTTACTGCTGGATGCTCTGTACAATGTCTACTGGAAAAGACAAGAGTTTTGCTGTTGACTTACTGTACAGAAACCTCTTTATGCATTATTGTTGGTTGTGCAGGAGGCCCAAAGTCTGCTCTTCAAAGATGTATTGCACACCTGTTTACAGCCACTTTTATGTGTGACTGTAAACTTGCGTTGTGGGGGCGTGGCCAGGTGCTGCTTCTTTGGATTTAAAGTGACAGAGCCCTTAAACAGCTCATTCTGAAAGGAGCTGGAAATAGGCAGAACTGAGCAGACTGAAATCTCATTATCTAAGAATGCAACTGGCCGTCCATGTGTGGCTAAAAGCATAAAATAATCCACCTCTACACCTATGCTGACTATGGCAGCACCTTTGAAAACAGATTTTTAAATCATTTTATTGGATTTTGATCTGTTTATAATTGAACTTCAGCAGTCCTTTAAAAACAAATATAACTCACGCTCGTACACATCAATGTTCCAGCGATTTTTATCTCAAGAGATTTTCAATTGAGCAGAGAAACACGTTCAAGCTGCACTAACGCAGGATTTGCCAGGAAAACAAGTGGAATATTGTTCTAAACCTGTGGGTGTCACACAATGAGCCGCCTGATTCTCCAGCTCTATTCTGTGTTGTTAACATGGAGGATCAGAGGCAGTCAGAGTCAAGGTTTCTTCAGGTCAAACATCCACTTTGGCCCCCGGTGTAATGAGAAACAGGCCACCACGACTATTCCTGTCTTCCATCTTTGGTATTTTCTCGTCTCCCCTCTGGCTCCCTGTGAGAGACGAGACGGGAGCGACGCAGCTTCAATGCAGATGACTCGCTATCTTAGCTCTGCAAAAAAGAACAAAAAAAAAAGAACAAGCACATCAATCTTACTTAAGATAAACCTCCCTCACAGCAAAAACACAAAATCAGATTTTTGGTCGAGTTTCTAGTGCAAATATCTTACAGTGTACAAAGTTATCAGTGACTTTTCAGCCAACTGTAGATGCTTTTTAAAGTCAACACTGACTCAATATTGATGAAAACGTTGTAGTTTCACTGATTATTTCACAGTCGTTGCCTAGCAAACCAGTTCTAGTTCCACTTTATTTCATTTATATCAAAACTTTTTTCCTTGTTATTAGTGAAGTAATCAATGAAACTGCAACTTTTTAACCAATATTAAGGAATTATCGACTCAACAAGCCTCTATATGTTGCTGAAAAGTTTCTGGTAAGTTAGTTTTGTCTTATTTGAAGTGAAGTAAAATGTTTGCACTAGAATCAAGACCAAAAGTACATGGTAAGATTTTGTTTTTGCAGTGCTGCAAAAGGCAGAGTGCCAATTGACTGCTCAAACTCTTAACATATGAAAATTATTTACTTTGGTTTCAGCAGAGCTCTGGTATTTCCTGGTATTTTGGCTTACAGAACCTTTTAATATGTTACGAAACATGCAACGTTGCTGCGGCCCTGCACTGCTTTTTTTAACCAGTGGAAATGGGCTTTTTGGTTCCACCTGTCAAAATGGAGGGCTGTCATCAAGTCAGTGATGGACCTTTGCAGGTATAAGCATAGTAATTACCCCGGCGGAGAGGGTTCTCATTACCCGTGTTCACAGGCTGCATCCCTCAGCTCAGCATATGCAAACGCTTTGGAGTCTTAGCTGGGATTTTCCACTGGTCTCGGTTTTCTGCTGTGACACTGTTTCTTGTTTTTGTGTTGTTGCGTGGAGAAACAGTCGCGTCTG